ACATCACATTTCACTTGAATTACTAGGAAATGTTCACTTTTTTGGCATATATCAGGGATAAAAAATTTTCTTTAATGGACGGATATAACTGCAAATTTTCTGCAGTAACGAAATCAGTTTCGTTCTTAATTTTTTGTAATCTCATTTTCACACGATTTTGTGAATTGTAAGGGTTGGAAGTAAAAATCATTGTGTAATACCTTACCATTTGTTCCCGGTGATTCTCCATCAATATTGCTTGTACTGGTATCTGAATTAAATGGTGATAAACTGCAGATGAGTTCAGGGAAGAGATCTTTGTCAACGTTTATTCCCAACAATTCTCGATCAGTATTTTCCCGTTCGATATTATAAGCGAAGCCGTCGGTGATTTCCTGGGATTGATCATCACTTGTCGTTATCGTCATTTGTTCCCGGTCATTCCCCGTTATTTTTTCGCTTTTACTGTTATATGTGACGTCGCCATTATGGCCAAACAAAGTCTCCAAATCGTCGTATGTTTTTTGGCACAAAACAATGTCAGATGTATGATGAATATATTGGGTGGTGTGATCGTCGTCATCGTGCGTTTTCTTGCGTTTCCTATATTCACCGCGATTCTCAAAGCTCGAATCACATCCGGCATGAGGACGCTTATGACTTTGCTCTTCTGAAACTTTGCTCTTCTCTTATAACATTTATGTTTGTAATTAGCACTCGGCTACATTATTTGCTAATTAATTAATGTAATTTGAGAACTGATCATAAAAATATCAATCCCATAAAATAGGCGTATAACATCGCAATTCACTTGAATTACTGAAAACTATTCGTTTTTCGTATATATATTAAAAGCGAAAAATTTAGTTTTAATGTTACCTTCCGGTATTTCTCCATCAATATTATAGTTTTTTGGAGCGACATTTTGTTCATAGCCAGGATAACGAACGAATGTGGTAATAACATTTGTATTGAGGTCAAATGGGGAGAAAGTTTCATTATAGGCCAAAGTGATGCAAACCAGAAGACTGAACCCAATGATTTGTGTTATCGACATGATGAGGAACAAAGTAAAATACAAAATTTTTAAAATGGTAGAAATGTTTGAATAGAAGCCATTTTTATATCACATTGAATGGAATTAAACGACCAAAGGTTCAAGCAGCTTTTGATCTGTGCGATTCGCAATGTTTCTTATATTTTTTTCTCTTACATTCAAATTTCCTATCTCTAACTCGATAGTTGATGAATATGCTTTTAATCCCGACGAAACCTCATGAAAAGGGTTGCAGATAAATTGAAATACAAAAAGGACAATGTTATAACATGTAAAAAATTGCGAAATAATCAGAGCATTACTGTAAATTTTGCAAAATTCATCACGAAAAAAAAGAAAAAAACTGTTTATTCATGGCATACAATTGTTTGGAGTAAAGATTATTCGGATTT